GGTCTGTGGCGGGGAGGGGCGGGAGGGGCGGGAGGGGCGGGAGGGCGGCGACGGCGGGGTCGGCAGTGGCTGCGGTAGCAGCGGCGGCGGCGGCGACAGAGGCGGCGGTGGCGGCAGCAGCGGCGGCGGCGGTGTCTGCGCCTCCCGCGCCGCGTGGTGGGATTCGCTCCTCCATTTCCTCGGGGGGCGGCTGGTTGTAATTGGGGTTGCGGCTGCTGCTGCGGCGACGCCGCCAGGCCGTTGGGCATTTACCCCGGGGGAGGAGGAGGAGGAGCAGCCGCCGCCTCTGCGGCCGCCGCCGGGCGGGTGCCTGGGGGGAAGCCTCGGGCATTTTTTGGCCGTTTTTTGCCGCTTCGGGCGGGAGACTTGCGATCCACAGCCCTTTTTTTGCCCTTTTTTTATCCTCGGGGCACAGCCGTTTTCCACTCCCCCCCCCCCCCCCGTCCCGGCCCGCGCCCCGCTTTGCATGAGCCTTCTTTGTTTTGGTCACCGGTTGCGCTGTTGTGCAGGTGTGCGAGCTTTCCCGCGTGATCGTCCTCTCCCCATATCTCCCCATATCTCCCCATATCTCCCCACATCTCCCCATGTCTCCCCATATCTCCCCATATCTCCCCGCAGGTCGGAGCCCTCCCGCGTTGTTGTCCTCGCCGCCGACGTTTGCCGCTACGCCTCTCCGACGCGCCTCGCCTCGGCCGCATCGCCCGCCGCCGTGATCGCGGCGCTGGCGGCGGCGCCGCTTGAGCCGCCGCGGCGGCCGGAAGGCTCCCTGCCCCGTCCCGGAAGCTTCTCGGAAGTTTCTTGCCGTAGGCCTGGCCGGAGCCGCTGCGGTTCGACGCGCCGCGCGCCGGCGCGCGCCTCGCCCCGTCGCTAGCGGCGGCGGATGCGTGGGCGGAGGCGGGGGGGCCCTAGAAGCGGAAGCGCAGCTCCTGTATTCCAGCGAAAGCTCGAGAGGACACGCACTCCGCGGCGTCGAGGCTGTACTCGCAGCCCGTGGGCTCGCGCGGTGATCTGGGTATACGCTGCACACACCCTTCCGTATGCCCGCCTGGTGTTGGTGTGTCCCGCACGGAGG